CGCCCCTTGGCAGCGCCGGAGGCCCCCGTGATCGCCCCGCGGGGACGCGCACAGGGAGCACCCGCCCGCGAGAGCGTCCTGCTTCCCTGGAAGCCCCCGCGGTGACTTCAGATCCCCAGCCCCGAAGGAAAGCCAGCGGCCAGCGGGAGCAGTTTTCAGGAGAATTTCTTTATTCGGCTGCACAGAAAAGGTGTAACAGGGGAGCAGAGATGGTCTGCTGGGGGGCAGCGTTAGTATTTCTTGGGAAGGCCTGGGGGTCTGTAGCGGTTGGGATCCCCGCCGTTTCTGCCCCACGCGTTCGCCTCTTGGTCAGCTCGGGTGTCCTCTGCACCTCTGCCGCTCATGCCGCTTTGCCACGTTTCCCGGGCGTCGCTAGCAGGAAGAAAAAAGGCCACCTGAACCTATGAGCGTTTAACTCCACTTTATGTTGACTTCCTCACTTATGTAAAACTAGCTTTTCCACAGGACTTCTCAAAGTGAGATGCAAGCACTTAGTCCTTGTCTGAGAACCACAGTGGAATCCGTAACTGTTATGTCAGGAAACAAACCAGCAAGGAAAGAGAGTTCCTTATCACCGGAAATGCAGAGGTAAGGAATCTGCCTTATACACTCATGTGGGAGGAGAAGCACCATTCCTATAGAGACAGGCTGTTCAGGCATTAACTGCTTCCTCTCCCCTCCACTGTCCTTCTAGGTCAAAAGCTGGAGTACAAGTCAAAAAGTACTTCACTCTAACTGGAATGCCTGGATCCCTGGTAACTCGCTGTTGACAAGTCCAATACCCTCCATTACCTGATCACTTTGGCTGCCCAGGCACCGCCAGGTCCTCTTCGGGCAGCATCGTAATTCCCACGAGCATGGAAGTATTTGTCAGCACCTTTATAATTTGCCTCGCGCATGTCCTGGTATGCTCTTAACATATCCCATGCCCCTGAAGAAAGCAGAGAAACAGAGATGATGTTGACTTTAAAGAGTCATCCCAGAAACAGTTAAGTATCATTTCAGCCAGGAGCTGAAAGGCCCAAGGAGCAGTAACACAGAGAGGCACTCCTCCACATTGGCCTTTGCACGGGGGTGTTAAGAGCCCCCGGAAAGGGCCTGCAGGGGCTGATCAAGGCCCTCTTTCACCAGCAGAAACCAGCAAGTTCCCTCATGTGGAGCTGCGGACCTCCCAGCTCCGAGGACTGCATCCATTGACTGCTGGTAACCTGTGCTCGGGGAGGGGGTTCCTGAGAGAAAGGCCTGTGGTCACATCAACTTACCTCCCACTGCATCCCGGACAAATTGTGCCCTTCGGGTTAGGAACGGCACATCAGCACTTGCACATAGAGTAAGGGAGAGCAACACGAAGCAGACACAGAGCCTCATGGTTCCCGGCCCAAGCCTGACACGGAGCTGTGAGACAACCAGAGACATGAGCAGTTCTGGAGCACCTTTGAGAGACTGCTGACATACCATCCATCACACCCATAGCTGTGCCTGGGCAGCTGCCCCAGCACTGATGGCTAGCCCAGGAACTCGCTTCTCCCCCCACAAGGACTGATGCCCTCTGTGCAACCTCAAGCTCAGCTAAGGACTCTGCAACAGAGGAAACTTGCATTTTAGCATTCCCTGCTGCTCCTATCATGAGTACAGAGAAGCCCCACTTGCTAAAGCATTAGTCCCGTTCCCAAATACCAGCTAAAAACACTGCATATAGCTCACAAATTCAGAATATCACTCACCACCGCAGAAAGGCAAAGCCGAAGGAGATGGAGCTTGTCTTGTGTGCTCACAGACTCGGAGAGGGTATTTATAAGCAATTCAAACCCTCAAAAGAGGAAATTGGAAAGGATACCCATGGCTGGGAATTCCCCACCACCACTCCCAACACAGAAATCATTATGGTAAGCCTGTCCTTGTCCTTACTGAAAGTTCATAACCCCTGTTACACAATTTTTTTAGAAAGTACATGGTGCTTCTTCAGCTGTCCATGGGACATAACAAGCTCATAACAAGCAGGCTGAGAAGCTGCCTTGAAGACTGAAGTGTTCTATGTGCTTGAAGTGTTACAGTTGGCTTAAGGGTGACACTTTTGTTTGGCTCTTGTGCTGGGCAGAGCTCAGAGGAGAAGGTGCCTCATCGTCTGCACTGTACGTTGAAGCACAAGGTTGGGTCTGTGTCTGTGCACAAGGAACGGTCAGCTGTGTTACCAGCATGGCTGCAGGAACTGCCAAGTGAAATTCCCATGCGTGCTGGGATGACAAGATGGATCCCAGAGTTGCTGGAATGGAAAACGTGAACTGTTGCTCTTAACCCCATTGCAAAGCAAACCGCGTACACCTACGTTCCTGCCGATAATGCATTAAGATAGCGCACACACACGCCACTGTAAGGAGGGCATGAACAGTTCGTCCTGCCTTTGCTTGCTCTCATAGATCCTTCTCAAGGGACTTCCAGCCATCCTGCTGCAACAGCAGCTCAGTGGGGCTCAAGTGGGCTAAACTAGGGAGAGTTTTTGATGCAGCAGTAAACATTTTAATTAAGGAGAAGTTCAGATCCATACAGCCACAACTCTGCTAGATTTTTGTATTAACTGTCAGGCCCTATTGGCATGGTTCACAGTTTGAGCATCCACTGTGCTCTCTCTGCTTAGGAGCCTGCTTGCTGCTTGCTTCCCTTGGTTAACAACTGACACAACTGTTTCCCCGGCAGAAAGCTCTGGGTTTGAGTGCAATTACACTGTAGAATGAATGTGCAAAATGTCTCCCCGTTGTGTGGTCTCATACATGATTTAACGAGTCTAAGAGAGCTTCTTTAAATTCTCTGCAGAAGAGGTATGTGCCCCATTGTCACTTTAAACAATTAGCTGCTGGAGCTGAAGGGCAGAGGCATGAGGTAAGAGAGGTGCAGTAACAAACTGATCTAACAAAGTGCCAGCAGCTAACTGCCTTGAGCATCGCTGGACTTCAAACAAGAATTCAGCTTAAGGGAAGAAGAGACCTTTTCCACAGACAGGCCTGGACCGGCAGGACAGATACTCTCTAGTACACTGTATCTCTGAATGGAACAATTTGAGACGAGACTCTAAACCCTAACCCAATGGACAAGGAAACCTTGCAAAAAGCAGGGGGCCAGACATAATTTTGTCACCCGCTGCCCATGAACTTGATGCTTAACAGCGTAAGAGCTCAGTTACTGCAGAGACTGGAGTGCTGTGTTTTGCTGCAACTCTGTCCATGTCCTAGTGATGACTTATGCCCTTACAGTACACGTCAGCTCAAGTGCCTTGTCTGCTGGCTGCAAGTAGCCCCGTCTGTCACCTTTTTGGTTTTGATTTAAAAAAAAAAAAAAGACTAGAAAATGATTTCTGTAAGTTGGGGTACAGGCTCACTAATGTGCCATTTTGTCCAGGGACCTAGAACAGAGCACTGCCTTCAAAACTGACTT